TTAATAAATCTGTTCCCTCAGAGCTTTTAAATATTATTTTATCAAGTGCCTTAATTTATCTGAAACAACTTTTCCTAAACATGTTTTTATACAGAAATTTATTTTACCCACATGTTTTATTAATATACAACTAGATGATTCAATTAATATTAACGTCCACTTCCGGTATTACAATCTTCTAAAAAATGAAAATTTCTCAACTTTAGACCGTTCTTGCGCTTGATCTAATTATCGTGGAAGGTTGATTTTTTCAGGTTCTTTTGCATTTTGCTACATTTGCAAAGTCCCACTCTGTGCCACGAGTGGCTCTAGTTATATTTTTATCATTATATTTTAAGTGGATACCCACCCACAGAATATCACCGTGTTCTACTTTTATTTCAAACTTTTCATAGTCTTATACTGTTAGTAGACCGTTATCCTCGCTTTGATAGTGCGTCACGTGATTTCATCTGCCGCAGTGTCAAAGCGTGAATAACGGTGCTATAGAAAAACATCTTACTCTTTTTCACACCGTAATGAATATCCATATATATTTTAACCCAATATTTTTAAGATGTCGAATTTTATTGATTATAAGTCTTTTTTAAAACCTGTTCATCGAGTCCGGTATACTGTTTTATTGTTTATACAACCTGAAGTTTAACTTGATTTAGAACATGGGGGTTTTAATTTTATATAATACATTGTACTTTTCAAAGTGTTATATATTTTCATATTTTAATTTTTAACTCCAATATGGAGCCCATATCTGTGATATCAGTATATATTTTAATCTTAAACTCCAATATGGAGCCCATATCTGTGATATCAGTATATATTTTAATCTTAAACTCCAATATGGAGCCCATATCTGTGATATCAGTATATATTTTAATCTTAAACAAATAATAACTGTGATTAGGTGCCGTGGGATCGAATCCTCCTCAAGGTAAGAACAATTTTGATGACTGTGCCTTTGCTTCTTAGAGTCGGCTTTCACCCCCTAATACCCAAACTTCAGGTTATTGCCAAAAACAAAAAAGAGATAGGTCTATACCATGATAAACATGTTTATTTTATTATTCGCAGATTTTTTCTGCAACGATATGATCGCTACTGTAAGTTTGTTTCATAATAACTGGAATCTTGTCCAAGGTAACGTTAAATAATACACAGAAAAAATCCATTTCAGTGCCAATCGTTTTACATTCACTCATCTCGTTGCACTTTTCAATACATCTGTCTTCATTTCCATCAAACGACACAAAGATGATTGGTGTTTCGTAACTTCCACATAATGTACCCCCAGTCATGGCAGAAGTGGAACATCTGGTATCTTTAGCACAGTTTTCATCACATTCCGCTGAATCAGATACTAAACTTCCTTTGTGGGAATAAGGCCGTAAACCTGTTACGTTTGTAAACTTGTATCGACATTCTGAAAAATGAAATGAATGGAATGTTACGTCTTACTTTTCTAATTGGGCTAATGGAGACGGATAACGCCATGCAATGTACAATGAGGGAAATTATGTACTTGTACCCACATTCTAAAATATCAATGACAAAATTTGAAAATTTTTACAATCCGGAATAATCACTAACAATGATACAAATAGTGATAAACTCAAAAACTATTTTAATGATGGTAAGAACATACACGGTGGTTTAAAGATGGGTTCCCTTATTTTCATTTATGGAAATGAAAATGCTAATACTTATATGAATAGAAAGTAGAGGTGTTCTAATAACTTGGAAAAATACCAGTTTGTCTCACATGTCCATAATTTATTCATAATTAGCTAAAGAGAATTACCAACAGAATTCTAATGAGTGACCGATCAAGAAAGGTCAAAAAGTTTGTTTTTTTTGTTTATCCAGACTATAACATAACATTTATGATTGGTTAAAACTCTTAATTATATGCAAGAACATAATGATATGATTAAGAATACATGATAATTCATTAGAAACACCAATTAATCTAATAGTTTGCTTAATTTGACACTAAAAAATAAGGAAACCCATCTTTAACTATTTTGTACCTGATGAGTCATTGACTCAAAGGAATAAAGAATTGAATTGACATAAATTAAAATCAATCAAATTGGGTAATCTGTTAATTATTTATTTTGATTGAAGAAATGAGCGCGCTACAATAATATTCTTTAATCTAAAGATGTTAAGCTCTCCAGACTGTTTCATGAAGTTTATTGATTTGAATTCCACTATATAATGTATTATAACATGTATCGAGGAAGGTGATATAAACTCTTCACTGGGCGATTTGATGTGTCAAAGCTAATATTGTTTATTTGTAATTCAAGTATTTAAAATTATCTTACCTGTGCGTTTACATATTGGGTTTTGATATTTCCATTCTTCCTCAACACATTCCAGCTCTTGTACCATCTTGAAACCTTCATAACATGTAATGACTACATTTCCATTGCAATCTTTATCAAAATTTGCGTCTGTTATATTAGGATACGTTAAACAACCTGTTAATTTAATTTTGATATTATTTGTTGCCATTATTTACTTCTGACTCGATACACTACCCCCCGACAATTATATCATCAAGTATTGGTCTCAAGAACTACATGTTAATTTACTATTTACAGACAAAGATGATTTAAAATGTGTTTAAGCTAGTTATCCATGCTGCTGAAGAAAGTTGTCTTGAGTAAATATCTTCTGACTCGGACTCTTCCCACAAAAAAAAAGCTAACATAAATTTCGCCCAGATATACAAGCTTTGACTTTAGATTCATAAAGCAACTTTTAGATAAAAAATAAAATATTTACCGGCGTCTGTAAGAATAAGTATAACTGAAATCAACACAGCGGAACATAATAGGTTATTCATGGTTTTAACGTTAGCAAGACCTGTAATATTATATTTATAGAGACTTGTTGATACACTGTCCAATGCTAGATTTGGTCACGTATTTATAGTAAATGCAAAATCGCCCGCTGAACAGATGTTTCTTTGAAGACTGTAAATTAGTATTTTATACCAAAAGATCAATGATAGATATTTTTTTTTTTCATTATTTAACAGAACTTTTCAACGAAAGGTTGCCATTAATATTTCACCAAAATATTCTACAGGTAAAATGTAAAACAATAATAATACTAGAACTGTGAACAGCTTAACCCTTGTCTTTTGAACCTTTTGATACTCCTAGTCTGTTAGCTTTCAACCCTGGTGCTTTTAACCCTTGGCTTTTGAAACTTTTGATACTCTTAGCCTGTTAACTTTCAACCCTGGTGCTCTTAACTCTTGGCTTTTGAACCTTTTGATACTCCTAGCCTGTTAACTTTCAACCCTGGTGCTCATCTCAAAATTCCCATTTTGTAAAGTATAATACAGAGAAAAGTTACGTATAAGGGCCTAAAAAATCGTCAGCAACACGAGCGGGCACACAAGCGAAATTTTTTAGTGATTTTAAAAATTGTCGCAATCATTACATACCCCAATATTGTCTTAGTTGGGTCTAACATCTATTTTATTGACAACTTTAAGTGGCCTTATTAAGTTGTATTGGTCTTAAATTCCCCCCAAAATGATATTAATATTTCACTTGTTATGATTTGATGCCTACAGATTTCAACAGCAGTCTTACCGATTGCGACATTTCTGCCGAAGAAAGTACCAGTGATCCATAAATTGGCATTTGACCGTATATGTTTGAACCAAAGTAGCCGAATTCCAAAATTAATTCCGTTATCGTAGCCCGTTCCACTATGAAATAAAAAAGACCAGATCGATAATAAATATTAATTTTTAGGGCGATGCTTATGCGACGAAGGAATTTGGTTCATATTTCTTTCCTACTAAGACTAAGAAATCTCGTGTCAGTGCCTGTTTACAAAATCACGTGTGGACTTACGTACACACGTTCCATATAATATTTGGCAAAACTGTAAATAACCACTATAAACTATAAAATATCCTTATCAGTAGGCCTACAATTTCTTTTAATTTTATTTTGTCAGTGTGGGCTTTGTGAAGAAATGCCAACATGAGATTAAAAACAGCCTACAATTTGTGAACAAGAGATTAAATTTTGATAAAGTGGGAAGAGCCTTGAATTATTAACGCAATAAAATAACAACTTGGTTGTATATATTACAATACCAAGTATTGGCAATTCAAGTTTATAATCTCGTATCAATAATATTGTCTATTCGTTTGGTTTCATTCTCATTAGGGCTAATTCCCATTTGAGCTAATATTTTCCCCTTAGGGCTCCTAGCTCGAGCTACCTCTCATTGTGTCATTGGTCCTCGAGAAATATAACTCCGTAGTAAAATTGTTGAAGTTAAGAAATGGTCAATCCATTTCAGGTGTATGTGGCCAAGTGTGACTGGTGTAACAGGTGTGATAG